CCCGGTCAATGGCTGGCCACCATGGCTGTCGCGACTTGAGGTCAAGCGACAGGGGAATATCTAAAAGCAAGGGGCGTCCGACTGGTTCTCACCGAAGCGATGGTGAGCGAAGCTCAAACCTAAGGCTAGGGACAAGTAAGTGTATTAGTTAGTGTAAGGTAAGTAAGAGAATACAGGAGCTTACTGACCTAGGGACAAGAGGTCGAAACTGAGGTCCCTAGGGCAGCAGAGGCCGGCTTATATACATGGGGAGATTAGGGCAGGCTGTGCGCGTTGGTCCGTGCGCAGCTGGTCTGTGCGCAGCATGCCGACGCGGCCCCGGGGGCCGGTGAGTCAGCGCAGCTGCGTCAGCGGGGCCCGAGCTGTGCCGTGCACTGCCGTCCTATCTAATCTGATCGTACAGTAGATAACGATGTGTCCGTATCGGGCAAGTAGTACAGAGGTCGCGGGTTCGAGCCCGCGAAAAGGAAAAATTAAAAAACGGCTAGACGCCGTACCAACTCGTGACAATGGCTGAGCGATATGCACATGCCTGTACTCATGCCACAAGAACAGCAGTGTGATTTACAATTAGAGGGTTCCCAGTTCGCCTTTATCGACAAGAAGACATTATATGTTCTCACAAAAGATGGGATGGTATATCCTGTCAAGATTGTTGTTGATGGCAAGACCATGTCTTGTCTGTTGATGGCTGTGCCTGTTGCGCGGACAATGATACCTTCAATGGTCAGAAGGGTGCAGAATGAGTATATTTTTATTGGTAGCATTGTAGGGCCTTCTGTGTTGCTCAAGACCGTGCCTGTTGATGAAGACATAGTTGATGATGATGTTGACATGGCTGCTGCCCCCTCTACTGTAGTTGCTCCTGCCAATACCATGGAAATAGACGACGACAGCAGTATGCATATGATACTGGATACTGACGTCACTGACATCTGCAGTAGATTTGTATGGCAGATCAGCTGTCCCTGAACAACCACACATATGGCGGCAGACATGGCCTGCAATGTTTGAGATCTACAACTTTCAGCAGATGCTGTTCAATGCGGGCGGTCGTGTGCATGTACATTTTTGCACATCCCTGTACAACTTTGTACAGCTCTATATATTCCTGTACACCCCTGTACATCACTGTACATCTCTATATATCCCTGTACATCTCTGTACATCTCTATATATCCCTGTACATCTCTGTACATCTTTGTACTTCACATGATTGTACATGATTGTATATATTTTGATTCATTGTTATTGAAATATGACTTCAGCAGGGTGTAATCATGTTAACAAATGTCTTGATCAATCCCAATTGAATTAAATTGTATTGTATTGTATTGTATTGTATTGTATTGAATTGAATTTGATTCCATTTTGAATTCAGTTTCTTTTCAATTTGAATTCAGTTTCTTTTCAATTTGAATTCAGTTTCCTTTCAATTTCGCTTCAATTGAAATTGAATCAAATTTCAGTTTCCATTGAGGATCTATTCAATTATCATCGACTTTATTCACTATTTTATGCCTTTGATATTGTTGATAGATTTGATCAGCTATATTCAATTTGCATTCAATGATTCTTTGGTTTTACTTCAGTTATAGTTTGAATTTTATATTCGACTTTTGCCATATAAGGATGATGACACACAGGTCACAATTTGTTTTCAATTTTAATTCAATTTTCCTTTTCAATTTTCTTTTGATCTTACCTTCGATTTCTTTTGGATTTCCGGTCAACAAAATATGAGCTTGATGGAAATGCAATTGATTGTATGTGATTCAATTTTCTTTCAAACAGCTATTCAATTTTCTTTTGATCCCTTTCAGATCTTATCTTCAATTATCTAATCAATTTTATTTCAGTTTTGATTTCATTCCACAAGCGGTGTGGTAGGGCCAAGTGGTTCACTGGCAAAATCCGCAGGAAGATGACTCGCAAGCGCGGGTCGCGCGCTTCGTGTTCGGAACCATGATCGCTCCGTCTCAGTCTCCATCGCCAGACTACCCCGACCTCCTCACACTATCTCAATCTCTTCACCTCGTACTCTACAACCGGACGAAGACGCATCGCACCTCACGTAGGAGCCGGCACAGCGTGCGTAGACCAAGGACAATAAGATAAGACACGCGCGTGAGGCGTGCAGGTCGGCAGAAGATAGCTTGTTCATTCTTTTCTTCTTCTCTTCACTCCTGTAACCTTCGTCCTGGACAGCCTGAGCGACGCGGATTGCACGCGGGACGTAGGGTCGAGCGCGTGATCATGCCTCCTCCGCTTGTTGGGGGGCAACGCGTTCGTAAATAGAGTCGAGAATCGTCACGCTGACTCCCCGAACGTAGCCTGCGATCGCATGAAGCTGAGCGACGGTATTGTTCTTTCCCGGCACACCACGACTGATGCTCATGTACTCGACTACTTCATGTGAAGGTTTCTAGGTTGTGGGTATATATGGAGAGGAGACGGGCCTGTACGAGCTAGCGAACCACGCGCAATTCACAATTCTCTTAATCTCATATTCGAACCTTTGCTGGATCCTTGGCGACGCTCTCGCTCCTCCTCAAAGTCTACGAAATCCTCCAGGTACGCGATCCTCTCTTCGCGATCACTCCTTCCAGTCTCAGCTAGCGCTGGGGCTATTCTATCTAATCTGATCCCGAACTCTCAGTCCACGAGGAGGCTGTACTGACGTCGACAACACCCGGGTTCCGATCCCACGAGCACAAAACCCCCACTACGACAGCGGAAAGATTGATAAGCCACTTTCGCTTTTCTTTCAATCTATATCTAATTTACCACCCTAGAAAATCCAGTGTTCCGCGCTCCGCTGGCAGTTGTCTGAGCGCCTGCCTCTGTCCGCCTTCACTCCGGCACGGTTTCGCAGCATGAATCAACTCGTTCCCTGCGTTGTTTGTGTTGATAGTGTGTGCCGGCTTCGACATGCACTAAGTACAAGGATGGGTGTACCGGCTGCAGAAACACTAAGAGACGTCATCGTCTAGATTGCGTGTGCGTTTCAATTTGATCAGCATATGGAGGTCTTGTCAACAAAAGTTGCTAACCTTGGCTTACTAGGTTCTGACTACAATTGAGCGCGGTTCCTCCCCCGCATACCGAGCGCAGTCCCTTCCAGGCCTTACTGAGCGTACCATGTTTGACAAGATTTGCCCGATGGTAGCAGCAAAGCCGTTGTCTAGCCTCGAACTCCGTGAGGGCGAAGGCATACTCGATATCGTCTCGTGAGTACCATATGCGGCCATTCTGAAAGCGAACTATGCTCAGGTCCTTACATATGATTCTGCATCGCTGATTGACGATGCTTACACCAGCTCCCGAGTATAAGCCCGACTGAGGTCGTTCAATGACGGGTTCTCGGATTGGGACCAGCCTCGGATCTCATGGCACACTTTCGTAGATTACTTCTCATTTTCCCCCGGGAGGGATCCAAATATCTTCAAAGGCTCACGGTATCTAATCGCTCGCGCGGTCCCTCACACGTGAGGTTTCCTAAAACCACAATATGCCACGCCAGTTAAGTTAAGTCCACACTACATGAAAATAGTGCCAGGACTGATAATGATAACGAAATTAAGAACCCGCGTGGTCGTTGACCACAGGCGATCGCCATTGTATTGTATCTATAAACTTCTACTGCTTGCGCGACAAGTCTTCAGCGAAGCAAGAGCTCACTACGATCTCAAGAGTGAGGCCGCTGGAGCTGTGCTCTAGAGGTGTACCGTATTGTTCAGAGCTCGAAGTACCGATCTAACTGTGCATGCAGCTCGGTCGGGGTGCAACTAGCTTCTTCTACCATACGTCGTCTTCATATATCGTACTCATCTCAAACATACCTCTCGAAAGCTTGAGGGCATTTGTCCCAACGTTGTCAATTGGGTCTCATTTGATGCATGAATGACAAGTATCGGGCCATGAATAGAGGTGCGAGATGCCGTGAAAAGATAGGACTTGGTTAGGCGGATCTACTCATGACTTCCTCAGCGGGGCAGCGCGTTTGTATCAAGAGAGCTGGCCATGTGCGCCGAGCGCCTTCGCTGTACGTGCGAGCTTACGGTAGAGCTCCGACGAGCACTGTGGGATATAGAGCGCTTGAAGAAGCTAAAGTAGTTCCGATCCATCAACATGCGGCAGCGGTTCTCGTATCGGAGCTAGAGAGGGGAGACTCAGTCGCACGGTCGCGCCATGGAGACTTCTACTTGGCTGCACATCATACCCCAGCATCGCCCTTGCGGAACGTACAAAGGCAGCGCGGGAACAAGATACGTAATGCGAGTGTCGTCCAAGACAAGCGCTTACTTAACACTAATCTCACAATCCGTATCGAGATGCACTGAATACAGGCTGCCATTCCGTGCTCAAATCCTCCGCAGATTCATCAATGATCACGGTGAAAGTGAGAGGTGTGATCTGCTGCTTCATCTCCACAGCGCCACCTGACACGCACGCTGATCGGCTTATCGCTATCACGATTGCTGGTTTCCGACCCACATGCGTGAACTTCTATGCACGTCAACTGTTGCAGTGACGCGGAAGTGGGTCGGGTCCATGCCGTCGCCTGCGATGCCCATCATCTGTCGCCCATAAATCATTCCCGCGAACCCAAACCACTGTGATATTCCCATGTACACCACCACGCATGGGACATTTTTACAATCCGAAGCATTTGCGGTGATCGGTATCCTACATCATAGAAGAATGAGAGTGGACTGGCTGCTGTCACTAGCGCGATGGGATGTCGCCAATCGCCGCCAGCGTTGTCGCACCTTTCCCGTCCGTCAGTACCCGAGGACACCGCTGATGAGGTAAGATTGGATTCTAAATCTTCTAAATCTTCTAAATCCTCCGCTAGCGCTATTCATGGCTCAGAAAGCTATGCACCCGTGTGCGCTTTTGAGCGCTCCAAAATTTCATCGGAGACATATAGTGCGGCCCACGAACGGGGCTTAGGGTGGAGCCAAGCCTCTTTGGCACTTCGATCCCTCCCAGCTCCCGTGAAGATGTGCGGCGAACTCATTTATGCGGTCAGCCTTTCGAAGTGTCTCGGTAATAGCGCACTGAGTTTCGTTACAGGCCAAAATCTCCCAACTATGGGTACGTCACAATACGATTTGGGTAATCAATCATTCACGACTGGGTGCATACAGATTGAAGCCGTGTTATATGGTGGAGAGACATCTCTGTTGATAGTTCGAGCGACCATCTGAAACTCCCCAGGGATCTACCTCAATTTGTTTGCGGGATGCATATACATCTACACAAAGCGCAGGTCCAACAAATACGCGTTGGCGATGTGTATCGCCATGTTTGTGACCGCTACTGGTGAAATATTGATCGACCTCGTCAACGACCTGCTTGTGCCCCGCCTCGTCTCCGATTCGTATTCTGTCTCCGGCACCTTGTTTGCATGCGAGGGCACTGCGGACGCAGAGAGGACAAGACAAAGTAATATCTACCAGCGTGTCGATAATGTGTCCTTCATTTTCTTCATTACCAAACTGTGAGTGAGCTCATCTCGAAACGCCGACCCAGCTCATCGCTGTCGCAGATGGTTGGGCGATAGTATTCTTGTTAGTTTCCACGACGATTCACGAACATAAGTTCTGACATTAGACGTAGGTATACCGATGCTACATGATTTGGGCCAAACAACGATGGGTCGCGATGGTCCCGGCATTTCTTCTCTTCGTTACTATTGGTGCGCCTCTTTCTGTTGGTTTGATGGATCTGCAATGACCGACGAATCTGATGATAGTGTTCGGTTACGCTCAAGTCGGAATGTCATATCAGTACTACTACGCACAACTCCGCTCACAGGCTACGCCTTCACCGGCTAGTACCGCCGATGTCATCAGCCTCGGTTTATGGCTCTACCGCCTGAACACAGTCTCCACAGCTACTTCTGTCGCGCTCAATATTATTGTGACGTGTCTCATTGGTGAGCTGGGTCCCTCTTACACCGCATTTTGTGTTGAAGCCTTGTTTAGTATACCGTATATGGCGGGATACTTTCAAATTTGCTAATAGCTTTGGTCTTCGAACGAGCAAGAAGTACAGCACTGTGATATCAATGGTGTAAGTCTTTGGTAGAGCCATTGCTTGCCAATCAAAACTCATTAGTTTGACTACCTCAGGGTTGAGTCAGGAGCAATCTACACTGCGGCCTTGCTCGCCGAATTGATCTCCAATAACTTCAAGGGCGACCCTGCTTATGTATGTTCGCCTCTCCGTTAGCTATAGCGTAAACGCATGACTCATGTCATGATAGGTGGCAAATGATATTTCCGACGCGTTCACCGCAATGCTTGTGGTAAGTCTTCTCGGTCGCTCTTCCGCCGCAGAGGTCCTCATCAGAGCCTTTTTAGGTGATCGCTCCGTCTCTGATCATCATTCGCGTTGGCCTTAACCAAGGATACGTGGAATCGTCTGGCCATTCAACGACGTTAGCAACAGATCCCAGTGGCGGTTCTCGTCCCGCGCACTCGCTCGTATTTGCGCCTAGGAATTTGGGAAAATCAACGGGAAACGAGACCAGTCCAAGTGCGACAGATTCATTAGCTATGCTCGATTTTAATGTTCAAGCGTCCCCGGCTATGGAGGAACATTCATGAAGTTATTTTGGAGGCCTGGTTAGAAGGGAACATTCATGAAGTTATTTTGGAGGCCTGGTTAGAAGGGAATGTATCTCTATTTTTCTTCGTATTGTAGGCTGCTGCTTACTTTATATCTCATTCCGCTCACCTTCACTTAGTATGTGGCGTAGATATGTATCAACTTTGTATGTATTGTAAAAGCTGAAACTACTTCCACATACAGCGAGTCAATAGGGTGTCCTACCTGCTTTTGGGTTGGTTCATGAACGGAAGGTCGCTGCACCGTTAGCCATCAGATACAAGGACCTAGGTATCAGTGCAGGTCGCGTAAATTGAGACCTCTCAATAAGATGCTTAATCCCCCAGAAGTAGGCTCGGTACTAAATCTCTCCAGCACATAACAAAACGATGCCAATTACATTGCCTGAGAGCTAGCTCGCCGACGTGCGCGTGCCCTTTCTGGTTCGCCTGTCGTTACAGTACCAGTGATAGGTTTCTAAATGTGCCAGACAGCATTTCAGTAATAGAATATCGCATGACACGCATGAGTTGTGCAGGGCGACACTCCTGGCGACTTTTCGAGGGGAGGACCAGCCACTTTAGCCAGCAGTTACCAGGATAGGCAGGTGAACCAAATAAGGCACGCCCTCTATTGTCGCGACCTGCCAGCTGTCAGTCCCACTGCATGCGGTATTCAATTTTCTAGTACAAGAAATCAAATGAAAATCGAAAGAAAAGTTGATTTATCTAATCAGTACTCTGGCGCCTAATATGGAAGTGAAATCGAAGGAAAATCGATTATGTAATCCATTTTCCATTGTCTCTTTCAATTTTCCTTCGATTTTTCTTCAATTATCATTCAATTTCTAGATCAATAAGATTCAATAGGTGCTATTTGCTTTTAATTCAATTATGATTTGATATTTTGTGCAGGAAAATTGATTCCTGCATGCAGTGTCCACTGTCTCCCTTAGCCCATATTGTCGCAACTAGGTTACTACACGGATTGCAATGGATAGTTATATATCTGTGCTGTATGCCAAGCTCTGGCCCTCCACCTCTCCATAAGGTAGTGATGCCGACTATGATGGTTCGTGAGCTATTGTCCTTTGTGACTTCTATTCACTGTAGCCATAAACTGCAGGATTCTGTTTCTTCTCAAGCAGGCCAGTACTCTACTATCGAGTTGCTTCTAGAAAAACTGACAAAAGGACTGCACTGTCATTGAAGATTGCCATTGTAGATGCCTCCCGTCACGCGCTGCTATATTACACCCTACTTTTGCATATGCTTATGAAAAAGGCTGCGATCAATAGGTGTCTGTATCTTCCAATTCTCAACTCATTTGTATGGTTCTGTTGCGACTTAGGGTCAAGCGACAATGGAAACACAGACTTTTGGAAGGTGCTGGGGGCGTTCGACTGGGTCTTACCAAAGCGATGGTGAGCAAAGCTCGAACCTAAGGCTAGGGACAAGATAATATATTAGTGAGGTAAGAAAAGGAATACAAAGGATGCTTACTGACCTAGGGACAAAAGGTCAAAACTGAGGTCCCTAGGGCAGCAGAGGCCGGCTTATATACAGGAGAAGATAAGGGCAGGCTGTGCGCGCTGGTCCGTGCGCAGCTGGTCCATGCGCAGCATGCTGACGTGGCCCCGGGGGCCGGTGAGTCAGAGAGGCTGTGTCAGCAGAGCCTGAGCTGTGCCGCGCACTGCCGTCCCATCTAATCTAATCGTACAGTAGATAACGACGCGTCCATATCAGGCAGGTAGTACAGAGGTCGCGGGTTCGAGCCCGCAAAAAGGAAAAAATTAAACAACGGCTAGGCGCCGTACCAACTCGTGACATTACCCCCCCCTCAACGGCACATAACCTCATGCGAGGCGCCCTTGCCCATCTCCCACCCGGAGCAGCAGCGTGCTTCAGTCAATGGCAAAGGCATTGGCTGGAAGTTGAAACCACCAAATGTAGTAGCATTGAGGCGGCGAGGGGCGTTCGGGTTCTTCTGGTGGAAGTCGGCTATGAGGGCCGGTGCATTGGCAACGTTGCGCGCCGGTTCCCATGACGTATGTGAATCATCATAACCCTTCCACTTGACGAGGTACTGCAGCTGACGCTGGAAGATCCTCGAATCCTTGATCCGTTCAACCTCGTACTCTTCGTCGCCCTCAACCTCTATGGCAGGCAGCTCCTCCGGCTCCCGGCCCGGGATCTTGCTACGCGTGTACTTGCTAAGCAAGGAGACATGGAATACCGGGTGCACCGGCACCGACTTTGGCAGGACTAATTCATAATCCAAGTCTCTGAGCTTTCGCCGCACGGCATAAGGTCCAAGGCGCTTGGGACTGAGCTTCTTGCTCGGCTGTTTTAGCTTAAGGTTCCGAGCGTCAAGCCAGACCTTGTCCCCCGGCGCAAAGACCGGTGCCTCCTGCACGTGCTTGTCGTAGTATACTTTCATATGCTCGGCTGACAGCTCGAGCGCAGAGCACGTGTTGTCGCGAATCTCCTTCAGGATCTTGAGCCGATCAGCGGCCGCAGGCATCGCAGACATTGGATTGATCTGCACTTGGATCTCAGGATTGTACCCCTGATGCAGGAAGAAAGGGGAATGCCCGGTCACGGAGTGAACTCGGTTGTTCAGTGCAAACTCTGCGAGCAGCAACTGCTTTGCCCAATCATCCTGCCGGTGGCTGGTGAAAGCACGCAGGTACTGCTCGATCTCCTGGTTCCAGCGCTCAGTCTGGCCATCAGTCTGGGGGTGGAACACTGTGAACAGCGCCAGCTCAATTCCCAGTCCCTTGTACACCACATGGAGATACTTCGAAGCGAACTGGGGACCTCGGTCTGATATGACCTTGGTTGGGGCCCCATGATGCTTGAACACATCACGGATGTATAGGTCCGCCGCACCTTCTGCTGTCAGGGTCTCATGACAGGCCGAGAAGTGGACCTGCTTGGTAAAGCGGTCGGCGGTGACCAGGATTGAGTCAAATCCATCAGACTTTGGCAGGCCGACAATCATATCAGTCGTGATGATCTGCCACGGGCGCTTGGGGATCTCATTCGGCTTCAGCGGACCCTGGGGTTTGGCTGGGAATGTCTTGGTACGGTTGCACACGTCGCAGGTGCTCACGTACTCATTGACAAATTTAGACATCCCAGGCCACCAGTAGTTCCGTGATACGAGCTCCAGGGTTTTGGCACGACCGCCATGACCGGCGATTGGCGAGTCGTGGTGGATCTTGACTATATCCCGCCGGAGCTCTGCGTTCTTTGGGACATACACGCACCCGCGGAACAGCAGAAGCCCTTGTTTGGCATTCCACTCCTCAAAACCCCTTTGCAGTCGGGGCGGCCCAAGGTCCTGCACCTTTTCAAGTGCCTCGGCCACCTCCCGATCCTTCTCCGAACATTCCCTGATGCGCTTCAGAAGCAACTGATCGGCCGTCACCGAGGCATGACCACGCCTGGCGGAGGTGATGCGGAAGCACTCCGGCTTGAGAATCACCTGATCGGTGTTATCGTCCTCATCGCCGATCTGATGGTCTGATCGGCGGGATAGGGCATCAGCCTTTCCATTCGACGTTCCGGCCTTGTGTGTGATGCGGAAGTCGAAGCGAGCCAGGAATAGCGACCATCGCGCTTGACAACGCGTGAGGTGCTGGGACGTGTGCCAGTACTCGAGGTTCTTATGATCGGTTACGATCTCGAACTGATTGGGTAACCCCTTGAGATAGTGGCGCCAATCGTCTAGCGCCTCAATGATCGTGAGCATCTCCTTATCGTAGATCTCATAGTTACACTGCGCCGGGTCCATAGCATGGGATCTGAAGGCGATGGGATGCCATTTACCGTCGTCCTGCTTCTGCATCAACACGTCACCAGTGGTGTAGCCCGAGGCGTCAACCTCAATGCGCGTTTCTCGGTTAGGATCGTACAGCGCTAGGACTGGAGTCGTTGCGAAGAGCCGCTTGAGCTCGTCGAAGGCATGCTGTTCCTCTTCGCCCCAATGCCATGGGTCATTCCTGGTGAGCCGGTCGAGTGGTCGCGAGATCTTAGCGAAGTCTTTGATGAAGCGGCAGTAGAAGTTGGAGAACCCCCGGAACTTCTGGACATCTTTTTTGTTCCGGGGTACCGGCCACTCATTGATACCTTTAAGCTTCGCGGGATCCATCGCCACCTCATCGCCACCGAACACATAGCTGACGTAGTCGACCTTGGGAACGTCCCATTCGCACTTCTCAGGCTTCAGGAACAGATCGTTATCCTGAAGGCGGCGTAGAACCTCGCATGTGACCTTTTCATGCTCCTCCTTGTTGGTGGAGAAGATGAGTATGTCATCCAAGTACACGAGGATCTTGCCACCGACGATGAGATCGTGGAAGATCTCGTTCATCATCGCCTGGAAGGTCGCGGGGGAGTTGGTGAGACCGAAGAACATCACCAGGGGTTCGTACAGCCCCCGGTTAGTCACGAAGGCCGCCTTCCACTCATCACCGGCTTTGATCCGGACATTATTGTATCCCCATCGGACATCGAACTTCGTGAAGAGCGTAGCGCCGCGGAGCTTGTCCACCATTTTGGCGATCAACGGCAAGGGATAACGATTTTTGACCGTGATCGCGTTCAATCGGCGGTAGTCCTGCACGGGCTGAAGCGTCCCTTCCTTCTTTTTGATGAAGAAGAAGGGGGACGAGATGGGCGACTTCGATTCCCGTATGTAACCCTTCGCTAGTTGCTCCTTGAGGAACTTGTCAAGCTCCTCCTGCTCGTTGTTCGACAGGGGGTACACCTTCGAATGGAATGTCGAATAGCCGGGCACGAGTTCGATTGCGTGATCATACGGCTTCCTTTCGGGTAACCGTTCTGATGCTTCCTTGGAGAAGACATTCAGGAACTCATGGTACTGTTTAGGTACCGACTCTTCGGCGGTCTTAACGACCTTCTTTTTGATCTCCTCCTCAGCGAACAGCTGGGAGTACGTATGTCCTGCTGCGACGAACAGCTGAGGAGCACCGGGAAGCGTGATGCCTTGCTCCCAGGCTTCAATCAAATCGACCTCATCCCACTCTACCTCCACCGGATCTTCCTCGGGTTCGAAGTCCAGGAGTGCCGTACTCCGGCAAGCGCCTATAACCGACCGTTTGGATTTCGGCGAACGCCTGCGTGCCGTGGGCCTGACCCCCGTATCAAGCGCAGTCGCTGCTTGCTCCATTCGGCCAGTCCTCCTGGTGCTACACGTTTCAGGGCATCATGATAATTTGAGGGAGCCCTTCTCCCAATCGATCTCAGGGTTGTGCTCACGTAGCCAATCCAACCCAATGATCACATCTTCTGGACCGATGTCCGTGACCATGAACACCGTCTTCTCGATGTGCTCTCCTATATGCATCTGTAGCACTGCTACCTCCGAGATGCTTCCGTCCTTATTCAGGGTGCCGTCAATATTATACAGCGGAATTGGTTCCTTCAACTTCCACGTCTGCACCTTATTTTCTACAATGAATTGCTTGTTGATAAACTTTGTGGTGGCTCCGCTGTCCACCATAGTGATTACGTCCTTGTGCCGTCTTTTTCCTTGAAGTCGAACTGGGATGTGAAAGTGTTGGGACACCTGGTCCAATTCATACACCATTGCAGTCGACAATACGTTATACTTGTTACACGAAGATACTCGCGGCCCGACGCGTGCGGCACGAAGCGCGGACCGGATCAAAAACCCTCCTCCTTCATCGCCCGATAATGCTCGAGCTCCTCGCGCATCGACTTCACCTGTGCCATTAAGTCCGCCAGCTCCGATTGCTCGGATTTTGCTGAAGCGGCACTTATACTTGCCGAGGGTGTTGTCGTGACGGGGGCGCTTATCGCGGCCTGGGTGGATCCCGAGGCAACCGTAGCCCGCGTGTCGGCGCGTTTTGTGTAAGGTTTGTCCTTACAATTGGGGCACTCGAATCGTCGGTACCCTTGCTTCCCACAGCCGAAGCATGTGCCGGGGAAGTTTCCTTTTCCGACGGCCGCATTGATGCTGGCCGAAGCTGCGTGTGACTGGGGTGCACCACCACGTGCCCCACCGTGTTCTCGACCTCGGGCCGAGAAGAAGTTATTTAGTTCGGGCCAACGGGCCCGGCTGATGTCGAGGATCTGCTCGACCTCGGTGGCGCGCTTCTCAGCTGCTTGCCACGTGGCGAAGGTCTCGAGCTCGATCTTGCGGTAGACGCGGGAGGGGATGCCGCTCAGGTACTTGTTGCGTAGCTCCAGGTCCCCATACCCAGAGCGGTCCGCCGGACCCTTGAACAGCGCGGAGAACTCTGCGGCGGTGCGTTTTTCACGGACCGACTTGTCCGCGCAGAGCTTCGCCAGCTCTACTTGTGCTGCCGCCTCGTCGTCGAGATTTCCGAAGCGGGCCCTGAAGGCGGCGGCAAAGGCCGCTTCATTTGCGAACGGGGTCATGGCCCCTTGCACACCCACCTGCACCGATGCGAGCTGGGCAAAGTAGGGAGTGGCCCAGGCGTGGGCATCACCGTCGAGCAGGCTCAGCGCAACCTGTACTTTGAGCTCGATGGTGGTCAACGACGTGTTGACCAGCCAGTAGATGCGCAACTGCGACAGGAACCGGTTGCATTCGATGACTGTTTTGCCATCGTATCGGAGTGGGAGAAGGAGCTTCAAAGTCTCCTTGTCGGGGGCGGCTATGGGGGACAACATTATCGGCGTCGGGGGGGATGGAGGACGCTGCGGGGGCGGAGGCGGCTGTGGTGGCCCTCCGCTGGTCGAACTTCGAGAGGAGCGAGTGCTCGAGCGGCCTCTCGGCGGAGTCGGCGGTGAAGGCGCCGAAGGAAGTTCGGCGGGGGGGTCACGTACGTCAGGGACTGCTGACGCGGGGGCGAGCACTGGCGGCGAGGTGGACCCAGTAGAAGCCTCGGACTTGGACTCCGAGATTCCTTCTTCACCTGCACCCTCCTCAGGCTCAGGCTCTGGCGCAGGGTCTGGAGGGAGATCTCCTCGAGCTTGACTGGACTCGGTGACAGTTTGGGGAAGGCGGGAGGTAGGGGAGACAGGGCGGGAGTGCCGCGAGGCAGATCGGGATGCGAGGGTGCTTCGGGGTCCGAGCGGGTGTTGCGCTCGTCGGATCGCTTTGTAGCGAGGGTAATCTTCCTCGATCGATCGGGGTGTCCGGTTGGGGCACGGCTGCTGCTCGCAACGATAGAGGACAGTCTCAGGGCCGTCTGGGATGTAGACGTCGATGAGGTCCTGGGAGTCGAATGCGTGGATCTGGCCTTGGCAGGCAGCCACGATGGATGGGGGGAGGAAGGGGAGGTGCGCGTACTACGAAAGGCCGTGCTATACTAGCTTACACCTACGGCGCCCGAGAAGACACTAAGGTTCGCAGTTCACGTGGGGCCCAGTACTGCTTTTGGCTAGTATACAGCAGGAACCTAAGCCACGCGTCCGTGAGGACAAGTATTGCCCACTGAAGTGCAGATACTGAAGAGTTCGTTCCTTAAGTGGTGGTGATGTATCGTAGGCTATCTAAGTATAGTAAAGTATAGTAAGGGTGCGCACCACCCCACCTATAGGAAAGGAGAAAGTGAGTGTGTTCCGGTGAACGCCGGCAGCGGTGAGGAGTTTCGACCTAATGTCGCGACTTAGGGTCAAGTGACAGAGGAAAACCAAACAAGGCGCTGGGGGCGTTCGACTTAGTTCTTACCAAAGCGATGGTGAGCTAGGCTCAAACCTAAGGCTAGGGACAAGAAAGTATATTAGTTAGTAGGGTAATAAAGAATACAACTGGGGCTTACTGACCTAGGGACAAGAGGTCGAAACTGAGGTCCCTAGGGCAGCAGAGGCCGGCTTATATACATGGGGAGATTAGGGCAGGCTGTGCGCGTTGGTCCGTGCGCAGCTGGTCCGTGCGCAGCATGCTGACGTGGCCCCGGGGGCCGGTGAGTCAGAGCGGCTGTATCAGCGGAGTCCGAGCTGTGCCGTGCACTGCCGTCCTATCTAATCTAATCGTACAGTAGATAACGATGCGTCCATATCAGGCAGGTAGTACAGAGGTCGCGGGTTCGAGCCCGCGAAAAGGAAAAAATTAAAAAACGGCTAGGCGCCGTACCAACTCGTGACACATATTGAGCCTAAGGGGCTGCCCAAAACTATTTTCCTAAATGGCGTGCACTTGAGGCAATGTGGCGGACTAGGGGTGCTAACCCCACATCATAGTTGATGGGCCACACGTGCCCTCGGGGTGCTGCCTGTTGAAGCACCTGGCTATGACAATCAGGGAGTGATCAGGACATCAAAACTAGGAACACTCACCTTGGGTGAAGAGGGCATCCTTGAGCCGGTGATACCATCCACTGCTCTGATGGCGGATCACTTTCCAATACATGTCATTGGCGACATGCCCGGAGTTGAAGCCGGCCTCAACCCTCGCCTTTGTGATCCCAACAGAAGCCTTCACTCGCTGGGGCGAGTGTTGAAGCAATGTGAGTGGGGAATTGTACTGAGGGAGTCAGAGGAATGTGAGTGAGGAACAGCAGCGAGGGGGTCAGAGGAACCAAGCAGCTGGGCATGTCATGAGTTGGTACAGCATCTAGCCATTTTTTTTCCTTTTTGTGGGCTCAAACATGCAACCTCTGTACCATATGATCAAACAGACACATTGCTATCTACTGTACGATTAGATTAGATGGGCAGCAGTGCACGGCACAGCTCAGGCTCCACTAACACAGCCATGACAACTCACCGGCCTCTGGGGCTGTGTTAGCATGCTGTGCACAGACCAGCTGCACACGGATCAGTGCGCACAGCCTCCCCTAAACTTCCCCTGTATATAAGCCTGCCTCTGCTGCCTTAGGCACCTCAGTTTCAACCTCTTGTCCCTAGGCCAGTAAGCCCCTGTACTTACTTACTTACCTTTACTAACTTATACATTTTCTTGTCCCTAGCCTTAGGTTTGAGCATCGCTCACCATTGCTTTGGTGAGACTCAGTTGAACACCCCCAGCCTTTTGTGTTTGTTTGTTCCTTGTTGCTTGACCACAAGTCGCAACATTAGGTCAAAACTCCCCTTCACTGCCAGTGTTCACCCAAACTCCCACTCACTTCACACTTCCTATAGGTTGGGTGGTGCGTACCCTTACCACACTTAGATAGCCTATGATACATTGCCATCACTCGAGAAACAAACTCTTCAGTATCTGCACTTCAGTGGGCAATACTTGTCCTCACAGACACATGGACTAGGTTCCTGCTGCATACTAGCCAAAAGCAGTACTGGGCCCCATGTGAACTGTGAACCTCAGTGTTATCTCAGGCACTGTAGGTGTAAGCTAGCTAGTATGGCCTTTTGTAGCATGTGCGTCTTGCCTTCCTCCCCCCATCACCGTGGCTGACAAATTCTTTGACTGCTCTTGACTTGAGCACACATTTGACACACAGGAGCAGGTTAATGTCTCCTATGATGACCCAGAGAGTGATGGATCCAAAGCTCTGTTCTTCCATTGTAACCAACAACCGTGCCCTAGTTGCACTCTGTGGTCTATCACTACCAACGAAGGACACTATGTACCAATCAGACGAGTCCAGCACCCCAGTGGCCCCGCTCTTTGATATGCTAGCACATTGAGATCTACCTCTTGCCACGTCACTTTCGTCCCATCCTGACCCACATCCCCAGGTACCTGCATTCCCCAACCTATCACAAGTACAGGTCAAGTGCAAGGAGATTCTGATCTCCCTCAAAGAATTAAGGCAGTCGCACAGCCTACAGCGACCCCTCAAGTGATCCCCTAGCCCTCCTTGGGGCTGCAGTTGGAAAGGATTCCGAAGTCTGAGCCTCATGACAGTCCAGCAGTTACTTGGGCCAGCTTGTCATCAGCGGTCTCCTTCTCGACTCCCATCCCTATTGTACGTCGCCCCGCCACTGGACTTCCTCTGTTGCCTCCACCACCATTGCTACTGTGAGGCTGCTTAAGCACTTGTTTCTCCCAAAGTTTGCCTGGCAGACAGTCACAACTACCCCCGGGCCATCCTCCGTCCCCCCCGCCACCAATAATATCATTCCTAGTGACCCCTCCTGACAAGGAGACCCTGAAGCTCCTCCTTCCCTTGTCATCAAGTGCAACCAGTTCCTTGCACAATTATTAATCTACCTGCAAGTCAACACCACCCTGACCACGGTCAACCTTTAGGTCCAGGTAGTGCTAAGCCTGCTTGGTGGCGATGCCCGCACTTGGGCCACTCCGATTTTCTCACAGCTCACCTTTGTCACGATTGGGGTGCAGCGGGGTATGGCACCCTTTGCAACTCTCAAAGATTTCCTCACAGCATTCAAAAGCTGTTTTGGCAATCTTGATGATGCCACCGCGGCACAAGTTGAGTTCACCAAGCTCTGCAGTAACAAATCCCTGTGTGAAAAATGTACCACTGCGGAATTCTCTGCACTGTTCAAGGGTCCAGCAGACCGTTCTGGGTATGGTGACCTAGAACTCCACAACAAGTATCTAAGTGGTATTCCATCCCAAGTCTACTGGAAGATTGAGCTCAAGACGTTCACTATCTGGCAAGCCACTGACAAGCATGTCACAGAAGTCAAATAAATACTCGACATTAGCCTGAGTTGAACAGTTTCTTCTCAGCTCAAGAAGGTGGATGTGATGGTATCTGAGGTGGTGCACCTCGATCACAAGGCGCTTTGGCCAGCATCAACACGGCTGTTGGAAAAGGAGACTTCCCCAGCAGTTGCTTCAGCTGTAGGAAGCAAGGGTACCGACACTTTGAGTGCTCCAACTGTAAGGACAAACCTTACACAAGATGCGCCGACACACAGGCTACAGTTGCCTCAGGTTCCACCCAGGCCACAACAAGTGCCCCTGTCACAACATCACCCTCGGCAAATATGAGTGTAGCTTCAGTGGAATCCAAGCAATTGGAGCTGGCAGACTTAATGGCACAGGTGAAGTCGATGTGCAAGGAGCTCGAGCACTATCGGGTGATGAAGGAGGAGTCTTTTTGATCCAGTCCGCACTTTGTGCCGCATGCATCGGACCCTGTAACAATAATTTGTACAAAGTATTGGTGACTGCAAATGTTTACAAGTTGGACCATGGGTCCCAGCATTTCCACATCCCAGTACACCTCAAAGGAGAAAGATGGCACAAGGACATAGTTGCAATGGTGTACAGCGGGGCCACCACAAAGTTTATCAACAAACATTTCATGAACGGAGAATCGAGTATGAACGCGAAAATTGAAGAAACCAATCCCGCTATACAATCTCAATGGAACACTCAATAAAGATGAAAGCATCTCGGAGGTAGCTGTGCTACAGATGCAGATAGGAGACCACGTCAAAAAGACAGTGTTTACAGTCATGGACATAGGTCCTGAGGATGTGATCATTGGGTTGGATTGGCTGCGAGAACACAACCCCAAAATAGATTGGGAGAGCGGCTCCCTCAAGCTGTCATGATGCCCTGAAACATGCAGGGCCAGAAAAACTGACCAAATGGAGCATGCAGCAACTGCGCATGATACAGGGGTCAGGCCCACGACGCCCAGGTGTTCTCCGAAGTCCAAATGATCAGTTATTGGTGCCTGCCGAAGTAAGGTACTCCCAGACTTCGAACCCAAAGATGACCCGGAAGAGATCGAGTGGATGGAAACTGACTTGATCAAAGCTTGGGAGCAAGGCATCATGCTTCCCAGCGCTCCTCAGCTGTTTGCCGCAGCAGAACATACATACTCCCAACTGTTCACTGAAGAAGAGATCAAGAAAAAGGTTGTTAAGACTACCAAGGAGTCGGTACCAAGGTGGTACCGTGAGTTTCTGAATGTTTTCTCCAAAGAAGCATCAGAATGGCTACCCGAAAGGAAGCTATATGATCATGCAATCAAACTCATACCTGGCTACTCAACATTCCATTCAAAGGTGTACCTCTTGTTGAACAATGAGCAGGAGAAACTGGACAAGTTTCTAAAGGAGCAGCTGTCAAAAGGCTACATACAGGAATCAAAATCGCCCATTTTGTCCCCCTTCTTCATCATCAAAAAAAAGGAAGGGACACTTCAACCCGTACAGGATTACTGCTGATTGAATGTGATCACTATCAAAAATTGCTATCTGCTGCCGCTGATCACCGAGATGGTGGATAAGCTCTGGGGTGCCACACTCTTCATGAAGTTTAATGTCAGATGAGGATACAATAATGTCTGGATTAAAGCCAGTGACGAGTAGAAGGCTACCTTCATCACTAACTGAGGACTGTACAAACCCCTGGTGATGTTCTTTAGTCTCACTAATTCTCCTGCAACCTTCCAGGCCCTGATGAATGAGATCTTCCATTATCTTATTGTTGGCAGGAAGATCCTCATGTACCTGGATGACATACTCATCTTCTCTGCTAACAAAACAGAGCATGAAAAGGTCACATGCGAGGTTCTTCATCGCCTTCAGGATAACGACCTATTCCTGAAGCCTGAGAAGTGCGAATGGGATGTTTCCAAGGTCGATTATGTTGGCTATGTGTTCAGTGGCGATGAGGTGGCAATGAATTCCGCAAAGCTAAAAGGAATTAATGAGTGGCCAGTACCCCTGAACAAAAAAAATATTCAGAAGTTCCGGGGTTCTCCAATTTCTACCATCGCTTCATTAAGGACTTCGCTAAGATCTTACAACCACTCAACCAACTCACAGTGAACGACCCCTGGCACTGGGGAAATGAGGAGCAGTATACATTTGATGAGCTCAAATGGCTTTTTGACACAACCCCTGTTCTGGGGCTGTACGACCCTAATTGGGAAACACGTATTGAGGTTGATGCCTCGGGGTATGCCACCGGTGGTGTGCTGATGCAGAAGCAGGATGACAGCAAATGGCATCCAGTTGCCTTCAGGTCTCATGCCATGGACCTAGCCCAGCATAACTATGAGATCTATAATAAGGAGATGCTTGCAATCATCAAAGTACTATACGAGTGGCATCACTATCTCAAGGGACTTCCCACACAGTTCGAGATTATAACTGATCATAAGAACCTCAAGTACTGGCACATGTTACAGCACCTCATGCGTCGTCAAGCACGATGATCACTATTCCTTGCCTGCTTCAACTTTTGCATCACGCATAAAGCCAGAGTGTCAAATGGAAAAGCTGATGCTCTGTCACGCCAACCAGACCATCAGGTCAGTGATGAGGATGACGACACTGATCAGATTGTCCTCAAACAGGAGCACTTCTGCATTGCTGCCACACAGTGTGGACACACCTTAGTAACAGCCGATTAGTCACTTCTAAGGTGCATCATGGGGCCACGGCCAAGGTCATATCAGACCGAGGTCCCCAGTTTGTGTCAAAGTATCTCCATGCAGTGTATAAGGGACTTGGGATCGACCCAGCACTATCTACAGCATTCCATCCTCAGACAGACGGTTAGACCGAGTGCTGGAATCTAGAGATTGAATAGTATCTGTGCACTTTCACAAGCCATTGGCAGGATGATTGGGCAAAACAGTTGCCGCTTGCTGAGTTCGCACTGAACAATAGAGTTCACTCAGCAACTGGGCACTCCCCTTTCTTCCTGAATCAGGATTATCACCCTGAGATCCAAGTGCAGATCAATCTGATTTCCATGATGCTTGCGGCCGCAGATCAGCTTAAGATCCTGAAGGAGATCCATGATGATATGCGCTCCATGCTGGAGCTATCAGCTGAACAGATGAAAGTGTACTATGATAAGCATGTGTAGGAGGCACCGGTCTTTGCATGGACCAGCTGTGCACGGACCAGTGTGCACAGCCTCCCCTAAACTTCCCCTATATATAAGCCGGCCTCTGCGGCCCTAGGGACCTCAGTTTCGACCTCTTGTCCCTAGGTCAGTAAGCCTCTCCTGTATTCTTCCTTACCTTGACTAATATATTCACTTGTTCCTAGCCTTAGGTTCGAGCTTTGCTCACCATCGCTTCGGTAAGACCCAGTTGAACGCCCCCAGCATCCTTCAAGTCTGTGTTTCCACTGTCGCTTGACCCTAAGTCGCGACATTAGGTCGAAACTCCCCCAAGCTGCCAGTGTTCATCGGAACCCAAAACACTCACTTTCCCTTCCCACAGGTCGGGTGATGCGCACCCTACTATACAATACGATATGTAGATAACCTACCGTACATCGCCACCACTTAGGGAACGAATTCTTCAGTACCTGCACTTCAGTGGGCAGTACTTGTCCTTACGAACGCGTGGACTAGGTTCCTGCTGCATAATAGTCAAAAGCAGTACTGGGCCCCACGTGAACTGCGAACCCTAGTGTCTTTTCGGGCGCCGTAGCATAAGCTAGTATAGCACGGCCTTTCATAGTACGTGCACCTTCCCTTCCTCCCCCCATCCAACGTGGCTGTCTGCCAAGGTCAAGTTCACGCATTCGACTCTCAGGACCTCATCGACGTCTACATCCCAGACGGCCCTGAGACTGTCCTCTACCGTTGCGAGCAGCAGCTGTGCCCAAATCAGACACCCCAATCGATCGCAGAAGATTATCCGCGCTACAAGGCAATCAGAAGGGCCCAACATCTGCTTGGTCCCTGCAGCACCCTCGCATCTCGATCCGCCTCACAGCATTCTCGCCCTGTCTCCCCCAGCTCCTACCTCCCTCAAACTGTCGCCGGTCAAGTACGAGGAGATCTCCCTCCAGACCCTGCACTAGAGCCTGAGCCTGAGGAGGGTGCAGGTGAAGAAGGAGTCTCGGAGTCCGAGTCCACGGATTCTGCTCGGTCTGCCTCGCCGAGAGTGTTTGCTCCCGCGTCAGCAGTCCCTGATGTACATGACCCCCCCGCCGAACTTTCTCCGGTGCCTTCACTGCCAACTCCGCCGAGAGGCCGCTCAAGCACTCGCTCCTCTCGAAGTTCGACCAGTGGAGGGCCATCACAGCCGCCTCTGCCCCCCCAGCATCCTCCGTCCCCCCCAACGCTGATAATGTCCTCCCCCGCAGCCGCCCCCAATAAGCAGACTTTACAGCTCCTCCTCCCGCTCCGATACGATGGCAAGACCGTCATCGAATGCGACAGGTTCCTGTCGCAACTCTGTATCTATTGGCTGATCAACACGTTGTTGACAACCATTGAGCTTAAGGTGCAGGTCGCACTCAGCCTACTCGATGGAGATGCCCACGCCTGGGCCACTCCTTACTTCGCCCAACTCGTGTCAATGCAGATGGGTGTACAAGGGGTCACGACCCCATTTTGGGACGAAGCAGCCTTCACTACCGCCTTCAAGGCTCGCTTCGGTAATCTCGATGACGAGGCGGCAGCACAAGTAGAGCTGGCAAAGCTCTGTGCGAACAAGTTGATCCTCGAAAAATGCACCGCCATGGAATTCTCCGCGCTGTTCAAGGGTCTGGCGAATCGCTCTGGGTATAGGAACCTGGAGCTACGCAACAAGTACTTAAGCGGCATCCCCTCCCGCATCTACCGGAAGATTGAGCTCG